GGGGAGGCCCAGAACCTGGGCTTGGCCGTGGCAGGCGCTGTGAGCTGGGACTTGAGTCCCGCTGCCCCGCCGAGGACTCGGGCCAGCGAAGAGCACGAAGCTCACGCGATTTGGAGGCGCACTCCTGGTTGTGTAACATATTCTTTGGGCTGGCCCAGGAAAGCTCGTTTTCTGCTTGTGACGTGTCCTCGCGGCTCAGCACACGAGAGGCCTTGTCCTGCTGTTCCGCCTGGAAGGGCTTCTAGGACAGGGTGTGTGCCCGCCGGGCCCAGTTACACGGGCCGATGCACAGCACTGCCTCTCTCCGGCTGCGTCAGGCCCTGGCTCTTTGAGGTACAAATGCCAAGACAGAGCGCGAGGCTGCCTAGGGATTCGCCCCGGGACTGTCCTGGTGTGCTGCTTGGTTGAAAAGAGAGTGGAGGGGAGGCTTGCTTTGCGTCTGTCCAGCGCCCTGCGTGCCGGGTTGCTAGTGCTCCAGGGCTCCAGAAACAGCCCTCCCCTGAGGGCTGTGGCCGAGCACGGTGGCGGGGGGGGGGCGGGGCGCTGCTCCTGGCACTCACCCCGCTGTGCTCCGTGCTGAGCGTCCTTGTTGCCGTCCTCCCTGCCTGGTTTTCCCCGTGGGCCCTAATTCATGGAGACCAGAATCGGTGCTCAGAGGACGGGCTGACAAGTGTCTGCAGATTTTTGAGCAGACCAGCCTCATGTTGAGCACGACCGAGAGCTGGCATGCGGTCTGACTCGGGTGACTTTCACGGCCACGTCACCTGCAGTCCTGTTACTGACCTGACCCCCCAGCTGGTTTGCAGCGGACGTGTGCCCACCGTTAGCCGCCGTTCCGTTCCTGACGGCACTCAGCCTCTGAGGAAGGGTCGCACATTCCCGGCCGTGATGAGCAAAGCCCTGTGTGTGTGTGCTGACGTGGGAACCCCGAATTCTGCCCGGGGTCAGTAATGACAGGAAAGCTACCAGTGCCCCCACGGCCGTAGCCCCATGTCCCCACCCGGAGGCCGTCCTGTCAAACAGAGCTTTAGGGAAGGCCCTATCGTTTCTATGACAGCTGCTTTTACGTTTGGCCCAGACATATTTTTTCAGTCGCCAGAAGCATGCGTGCTTGCTAGAGACAGAAAGGGAGAGGGAGAGCACCCACAGCCACGCCCCGATACCTCCTCCGTTTCTCCGTCCTGTCGGGCCTGGGGCGCACACTCACGTGTGGCCGCTGTGGGATTCGAACTGCATCTGGCCACCTGGGATCCACTAGGCTACAGGGCCAGTCCTGGGCTCTGGCCTCAGAGTGCACTCAGCTCGTGGCTCCCAGTCCGGCGCTGTGGCCGTGTCGCAGCTCACCCCGTCTCTGCCTCTCCGTAGGACGACGAAGTGGTTCTGCAGAGCACGGCCGCCACCCACAAGGAGCAGCAGAAGCTGTGCCTGGCAGCGGAAGGCTTCGGCAACAGACTGTGCTTCCTGGAGCCGACGTCCAACTCCAAGGTGGGCCGCGCTGGTCGGGCGGCTGGGGCTCAGGGTGGTTGTGAGTGCTCTGCCCTCGCTGTGGAGCAGCAGGGTACAGACGCCGGGGGTGCAGGGCTTCCCTCACCTGCTGGGCAGAGCACAGGGGTGGCGATGTTGACAAGGGCCACCAAAGTCCTGGCCCATAATGGGGACGTTCCGGGGGAAAGTGAGCAGGTGGGTGAGGGACATAATTTCAGAACTCACATGGCCAGGAAGAGAGGCAGAGTCCGGGCTGGGCAGGACTGGGGCGGGACATGCCTTTTCACGGGGTGTTTAGGGAAGGCCTCGCAGCAGCGGCCTGTGAGCAGGACGGAGTGAACCTCTCAGACACCCGTAAGGAGGGCTGGCATGGGAGGACTTGCAGGACTTTCGAAGCAGCAGGGCTGCGAGGGAAATCGCCCATGATGGGAGATGAGGGCTTGCCAGGAGCAGGGCACGGACCTTCCCAGCCAAAGTGGGGAGTCATGGCTCCCTTCCAGTGGGGGCCCCCTGTGGAACTTTGCAGGGTCAGTGATGCTGTTTTCAAGGCCATTTGGCTCGTCCACGCATTGGAGGATGCAGGCAGCCAGGAGCAGGTGGGCAGCAGGAGGTGCCGCAGATGCCGGGCTGGGCGCGAAGGGAGCCTCTGACTGGGGGCAGTGGCTGGCGAGATGCAGGCAGGGGCTAAGCAGGTCGGGAGGACTTTGGACTGGCCCTCAGATCTGACTGCGGACGAGGGACGGGAAGAGGGGAAGGGGACTCAGGGCCAGAAGCGGCCCGAGTTGGTGAGCCACCCTCTGTAGGAGCTCACGCAGTGTTGCAGGAGGAGGGTGCAGCTGTGGCCACCGTGTCCCTGCCCAGAGGAGCTGGGCATGGCTCGGCGCCCAAAGGCCAATGCTTCCTGGGCCTGGCGGTGGCTGAGCAGGTGGTGGGGCTTCATGCTTGCACCAAGGTCTTCTGGCTTCAAACCTCTGGCTCCTTCTTCCTGCTACATGGACCCTCTTTGGTTACCCTGCAGGACAGTATTAAGCAGTGCATGTGTGTGACTTATGGTAGTCATGCCACTTCATGTCACCAGTGCCCCATTAGCCGTGGCAAAGTCGTTGTGCAGCCCAGCTCAGACTGACTTCAGTGTGACGAGCGTCTTTTGCCACCACCACATTGGGAAAGTTGTACTGGCCATGAAAACCCTCCCCTTGGAAACAGGCGAGCCTCTGGGCTGGCACCTTCTCGTGGTCTCAGGGGTTTGGTAGGACCAGAGCCAAGCAGACCACCCAGCTATGCAGCTTTTCATTTTCCACGCTGCGCCAAACACGGAGCTAGCTGGTGTCGTGAAAGCTGCCTTCCAGTGCCATGAGCATCCCCGTCCTGGGGCAGGCGTGACACGCAGGCATCGCGCCCTGAGATGCAGCGAGGCTCTAGCTGCAGCCGAGCCCAGGGACCGCAGACTGACCGCCGTCCTCCTCGTCTGCGATCTACCTGACCGTTTGTACTTGGGCAAGGCACTCAGGGTATTTGTTAAGCTTTGCGTTATGGAGTGAACTGAGTCCAGTGAGCGGCCAGAGCTGGTTGAAGTCCTGGCATGGCGGATGCCCTCTCTTCCCACCTCGGCTCACTGGCCAGCCCCGCAGAGGCCTTGCCACCCCTCCTGGTCCCAGGTAGACAGTGTCGCAGCCGGTACTGCTGCTTCCAACTGCGCTGGTGTGGGTGGAGGACGTGGACAGGCCCTGACAGCGGGATGGAAGGATTTGGGAGAGGGCTGAACAACAGGCAGAGTCTGCGAAGGACGCACGGGTCAGAGACGGCCCTGACCGAGGGGCGCCGGGCATGAACCTGCGGCTGTTTCTCAAGAGGAACAGGGCAGACGGGCGAGCCCTTCAAACCCGAGGAGATGGAGAGACGAAAACACGCGGGAAGTGCTGGGGCAGGAGGGACACCCCTTGTGGCTCCAGCAGAAGGCCAGAGGGACCTGGAGCCCTGGAGGCCGTCGAGCCCACAGCACAGGCCCCTGTGCCTACCGCTGGGATGGCAGAGACTCTGAGAGAGCCGAGTCTCAGAGGCGGGCAGCACCCGCTCATCGGGCAGTCAGACCAGGCTGCTTCGGAGGGAGGGAGAGAGGCAAATTGTCTCCAGACCTTTAACAAGCTGGCTCTCCACAAGAAGACAACGGAGCGAGGCACTTGAGGCCCCCAGGGGAGGGGACGCATGGAGGCTGCCAGCCGAGCCGGACTTCCGGAGCTGTGATCACAGACCAGGGACGTGGTCGGTCCCGGGGGTCCCCTGCCCCTGCCCCGCCCCAGCGATCCTGGAGCACGCATGAGCGTCACAGAGAGGTGTGCCTTTGAGCCTCACCGGTGTTCGTGGGGACCTGGCACAGACTGGCTGTGCTCTGCAGGACGTGGCTGTGGCTGGGAGGAGGGTGAAGACGTACGCTGCTAGTTATTTCGGTACTGCTCACAGAGGAAATGGGGGGCACGGAAGAGGGACTCGGGTGGGAAAGGTTGCAGGTGTGAGGGCCTGATGGGGGTGGGGCCGAGGGCGCTGCACCCTTCTCTGGTGTGTAGTGGACGTATCTGCGAGACACACGCACACATGTGTGTAACATGCTTAAAATAAAGGCAGATTTCCATTTTAAGTAAGCAGTCCTATTCAATAAAAAGATGTCTTTGAAGGTTTTTGTGGTGGGACGCATGTGCTTGCAGAAGAGAGACAGAGAGACAGAGGGGGAAGAGCAGCCCGCAGGAGTGATGGCCATGCCGCAGTCTTCCTTCTCCATCCTCTTCTGGGGTTTTCGGGCACACCTGCTTAGGCGCCTGGCATGATTTTTAGAATGCTGAGTCCAGGACTCAGACTGTGAGATGCCATAGCCTTAACCACCTGCTGGCTTCTAAAAACACATCTTTTATAAATATGAGCCTGAGGCCAAAATATCCTGATCATGTAAGTGCCTGGGAAGGGTCTTGACTTACCTGTTAATAACAGGAACTTAAGATTCTCATAGTAACAATGCCAAGTCCAGCTCTCCATGTCCTAAGATGAGGGGTAGACAGGGAGACGCCAGGAAGTGCAGGAACAGACAGACAGGCGGACGAGAGCAGGCGTCAGCCTCATTTCACAGTGTGGCTTAGAAGCCCTCTGAGGGCGACAAAGCCTCCTCTGCTACAGCTCACTTCTCACTGAAGACAAGCAGTGCCGGGCCCTTGTACCGGGAATGACTTTACAAGCAGACACCTCCGAAGCTGCAAGGAGCCGAGCAACACTAATAACTAGAGACACGCACACTTCCGCCAGGACATACCAGTGAACGGCTGCCCGTGGTCGGCCCGCTTGACCCTCTGGAGACGGGTCCAAAGGTGAGCCTCAAGGCAGAGCACTGCAGGTCACTGCGGTCGGCATCGCACGCTGTTTAAGGGGCACCGACCCTGCGCCGGGCCACAAAGGAAACCTCAGCAAATTTTAAGAACAGCCGTAGCACAAAATGGCTGTAAGAGAATAAATTCAAAATTAATTTATGCATTAATACATTTATGAGGATTACAGATTTGAAGTGCTATTTCTATATTCTTCGTGAGAATTTTCAAAACTCAAGTTGAGAGCCCAGCAAGTGATATGGTTAAAATGCTGGCTTCCCATGTGGCTGAGGACAGCTCAAGCCCTCGGCCTGGCGACTGGGAATGTATGCTGGGCACAGGTGTGTGCATGCCCAGGATCCTGAGAGAACAGAGGGGGGACTGCAGCATGGCCACTGCCCCGGAGGGTGACTTCTCACATTCGCTCTCTTGGTCTCTCTCTGGTGAGCACATGCACACTACTGCACAGATCTTAAAAAAAAAAAGGACCAAAAACCCCGTGTAAACTGAGTTGGAGAGTTATGTGAAGTTAATTACCTATTATATGGGAAAGAATATATGTTTGTTCAGGAACTTTTGTTCTTAAAACAGAAAAGATGTACTTGAACTTATTTATGTTGTTTTAACTAACATCCTTTAAAATTTGATTTGCTCTGGAAGACAGTAGGATGGACTCAAACAATGAAGACTCCCTTCTGAACAGGGCCTCGCCTTTCTGGGCAGAGTGTGTTCCTGAGGGCTGGTCCCTCCGTGATTCAGTACCCTGTCGGGCACCCCCTTCCCAAATCATCACTCCCCCATCGTCAGTGTTTCAGTGCAGCTGACGGAGGCTGTGGCCGACCAGCTAGGACCGTGGAAGTCACACTCCTGGTGTGGCCTTGCACCCACTCACCTGGGATCCCTGCAGGAATGGTGACATGTGCGATGAGGTGGGAGGCGCCCCAGTTGGCCAAGAGTTCCTCTGGTGAGACTTCGGGCATTCTAGACATCAAGAAGCTTGAACGACATCAAGAGCCAGTTCACAGCTGATCAATAATGAAAAGCAGGCATGTTTAATATAAATATAAGCAGATTTTAAGTATTATGCTTTTATTATTTCACTTCACTGATTTAAGAGACTACCTTTAGTAGCTTGGGTGGACCAGACTGGTCTGAGTTCCCTCACGGCTGAGAATGCAGAAGGAGGCCACCCAGGACTGGCTGAGCAGTGGCTGGGGACAGGCGTGGCAGGTGGTGCCCCGCTGGGGCTGAGTGACTGCACTTCCGCTCACAGCAGTGGGGCTTTCTGGTGACCAACCATGCTCACGGCGGACCCTGTCCCCAGACGCTCTGTGCTGAGTCTCGTCTGCTCAGATAACTTAAACTCACAACAGTAAGCACCTTCAAGATCATTCAGCATCGACTGAGTCGCAGGAAAAGTCATGACGCATTTCTGTATAGAAAAGTATGTTATGCCTTTTCCGACAACCCAAGTGTTCTGTGCTAAATTAAACCCCAAGTTCTGCTAGATTATCACCTAAAATAGCGGTAATTTTTAAGCGTTTGTGAGTGGTTATTATAGACATTTGAGGTTGGAAAGAGCTGAAAACCGGAAGGTCTTAGCGTGACAGCACGGCCATCCCATGGAGCACAGGGTTCCGAGTAGCAGCCGGAGGAGCCAGTGGTCAGCGTTGCTCCTTTCAGAAATGGAGACTGAGGAAAGTGTTCTCGTTCAATGATCTCACTGCTACAAACACAGTTTTCTGGTGTTCACTGTTGCGGACTCAGGGCGGAGGCGGTGGGAGGACCTTTCTGATCTGTTTCAGTCCGGCACTTGGCGGCCGCGTCTCCGTGGCCAGCCCGTCCGCAGTCCCTGTAAAGTAGTGTTGGTGCCTTTATCAGCTTCAAGAAAGGACGCTGGGCCTACAGGTGGAGGAAGGCAAGAGCCCCTCCTGTCCCTCCTGATTTCTGTGGCATCATTTTAATTAAGAGCATTTCTTCCCATAATGGAACATGATAGAGCAATATTTTATACTCAGTGACTTTTCATTTCAAGGGATTATTCACCAATGAATAATGCACTAGGATATCAATGATGCATAGTAGTTGTGACATTCCAGATGGCCTGCTCCTCTTATTCGAGGGAGAATTTTTGAATAATAAAAATGTCAGCATAAGATAGATGTGAGGTGGTGTAGGAAAGATCTGCCCCGAAAGCAAAGTTTATGTAAGATCTTAAGCAGCGGAATGTTTCTCCGCCTGCTTCCCCAGAAGTAACTGAGAGTAAAGCACAGTTACAAGAAGGTAAGTATGAGGGTTCTTGGCTTGTTCCCATCCCTTGTGACAGAAGAGAGACACAGGGAGGACGGTTACTAGGGGAGGACGTAGGTTACCAGTGGCCGTGTCTGTTTCTCAGAGCTCTTGCATTTCCGGTATTTATTTCTACTGCAAGAGGTGGGGCAGCAGACAGCACCCCGAGAGCGTGCACACGTGGGGCAGCAGACAGCGCCCCGAGAGCGTGCACACATGGGGCAGCAGACAGCGCCCCGAGAGCGTGCACACGTGGGGCAGCAGACAGCGCCCCGAGAGCGTGCGCACGTGGGGCAGCAGAC